GACAGTCGAGCATGCAATGGCGGAAGCAAGAATAATGGCGATGCGCATGTTGGTGGTGGTGTCGAAAGGACAAGGGAAAACGAAAAGTGAGCGACTCGGTCGACCGCAGTTGTAAATCAGACGGGATCGTGGCACCTGGCTGACGGGAAGCGTCCGTGTTGCCACGTGGGTGAGCGTGTCACTGTGCTGACAACTTGTGTTGACCGTGTCACGGAAACCAGCTGACAACCGATTGCATGCGCCGGGTAGAGGTGACACTGGGCCATAGCGTTACTTCAACCGTCGCCCACATTCGATTTGTGGCGCGTCGTAGGACGACTCAGAACTGAGTCCAAAAAGCTAGTCTTATCGCAGGTCTTATTGTACGTTCCTTGGCATGTATGATCGTGAAAATAAAATCGTACTAGAATTCGCAAACCCACTGGTGACTCACCGCCAAATGTGCTTCTTCCGGCACGTGACTCCGCGCCAAAACGAAGCGTGACCAATGTCCTATCATGGCGTGCGGCACGTTCCCTGACAGCAAGTGGATCCGACGATCGTTTTCTGCGCAAGGAATACACGGGACATGCTGTCGACGCCACGACACGATGCTGCCGCAGCATTAGTTCGCCTTGCTTGCGCGTTCGAAGTCGTGCTCATCGCCTGCAAAAGCGTTGTGTGCGATGCTTTTGGTTGCACGAAAAGCGCGGGAACAACGATATCAGTATCGGTCTCTATAAGCAGGTCAGGATACCAAACAAAACGGATCCCGGGCTTTTTAGTTGGTGGTTTTAACCAATTCTGCAACGGCCTGGCTTCGTGATCACTTCGTCCCGGCGTGCGCCATCCACACGCCTCGCCTTCAACACGGCTAAGCCTCGCCGCTGATGCCGTCTAGCACAACACGCTCTGAATCGAAAGTCCACCCCCCAAAAACAGTTCAGTGTAAATTATATCTAAATAGACTCACTTCAACAACAACCAATTCTGCAATGGAAACGATGCAACGGACCTAGGCATCGCACAGTATTCCTCAGCACCTACCCCGGGCGTTGCATTATCTTTGTGTGTCTCGTGCAAAAAATGCCGAATTTGGAGGGAGTTTGCGTGCGGCGCAAAACGTTCTTAGGCTGCACGCGACTGCGATTGGCGGTAATGTCTCATAGTCCGGAATATGCATTCGCAGAGTCTTCTGTGTACTGCTTTGTACCTGAGCTTCGTTCTGCTATCCAGGATCTTTGTTTGGTACACCGCTACCGCAAGATTACGATGGCATCATTTACCTCTACGATCTTGATGATATTGAAGTCGATAAAACTCAACTCGTGGACCCAAATCCTAGTTTTGATCATTTGACACGACAGTTGGGCATTGCACCGACAGATCGTTGCCGTTTCTGAAAAGCTTGTTACAATCGTTCCATAGTGCACGTTTAGCCCTCCGCTTTGGGATTATTCACCTTTTTAGCTTTTGAGATTCGAGAGCTTGCCGCCTTGTTCTCACGGTTAGTTGGAGGACAAACACAAGAACTCGCACGTTTTTCATCGCCTTGTCAGCTCTCAATCTCGTTCATGGGCCTACGAGCGCCATGCGAGACGGGATTTGTTAGTCCATTTGCGTCTGCGCTTTCAGAAATTACGTATCTGAGAGCTCTCCGCTAGTTTTGCTCAACGTTCAAGTCGTTGTCGCTATAGAATCACAGCGCACTCTGTGGGTGTGGTGCACCGGGCTACACGTCGCCGCCTTCATCGTCGAGTACGGCTGCATTTACAGCATTTGGAAGGTCAACTAGGATGTCCTATTGAAGTGGTTGTCCGGTCGGTTGTCACTAGGTTGAGCACCAAAGATCGCTTCCAGTCGTTGACAGTATGTCTTTGATACCATGTTGGTAGTGATTCTCCGACTAGGTCCGTACAATTCAATAGTGCGTCAATGGTGCGACTACCATTATCGGCTACTAGCACGACGCAAGCATGATTTAGCACCCTAGGATCACGCGACGCCGGGCCTTGCACCTTGCCCAACGGCGACATCGTCGCCGAGCAGCTGCCTGGCGATGCTGGTCATCGCTGATTGGCTCAAAAACAGATTCTTTCGGCGTGTGATTGGCCATCGCCTGTCATTCATCAACGGTGCCATGCTCAAGCACCTCGTTGCGGCAGCGCTCGCGGTCCCGACCGCCTACTTGGCGTTCGTCCTTGTCCACGCGCTTGCGACGACGCCTCTGCTTGACAGCATTGCGCGTATGCTCGGTAGCCCATGGGCGGTCAGCGGCCTCATCGACTACAGCGCCGGGCTCCTCTTCTCGGTGCCCTATTTGTGGCTTCGAGCATCGACGCTGCCGGCCAAGATGGGCTTGGCCCTCGGCGCCATCGTCCTCGGCAACGTCTTTACCGTCGCTGCCTTCATCTGGCTCCTCCTTCGTAGCGACGGCTCGCTGCGCACCGCCGTTTTGCCCGTGCGCACGGCGTTCCCGCCCATCGACAGCACGTCGGCGTCCCGCCGGACGTTTATCGGTTTGGCACTCCTGGCCTTTCTCGGGTACCTCGGATTCCTTGTCTATTGCGTGCAGGCGCAGTCGTTTGCGACCGGCTGGGCGACGATCCAGGACGATGCGTGGGCGTACGCGACGTTCATCGACGCATGGACAGGGCAGTGCATGGTGCTCACGTACATTCTCGTGCGCGAAGGCCGCGACGCCAAGCTATTTGCCGCTGCCCTAACGATCGGGCTTGTCTTCTTGGGCAATGCGACGACGTGCTATTACCTCTTGCACCTCTTCCTCCTCCGGTTTCCCGGTTGGCATGTCCGCGACGTCTTGCTCTGGAACGACAACGGCGCCAACGTCTTGCTCTGGAACAACAACGACGTCGGCGAAGAGGCGCCGCTGGTGCCCAAGACCTATGTCTAGGCCGATTTCATTATTCTTACTTTGTGTAAGAAGAGCAAATCGAAACGTGTGATGTTGCGTAGTACTTGCTAGCCCCTTGGGTCCTGTCAAGATGAACACCTAGTCGACCACTTTTGTCCACTCCGTGATACCTGCTTCATTCTCTTCCCCATTGGCGTTGCCACCAGGATCAACAAGTCGGTCGTGTGCAGTGCCCTTTGTCTAAAAAGCATAGAACTCCT